GTACATGATCTTTCGAGGCCAGGTCCGGCTTCTGCGAGCGCATACACTCCAGTGCAGTCGGCTTCTTCTTTGCTGCCTCTGCATCCGCAGTACCAGCAGCTGGCTGCACAGTCGCAGTACCCGAGTAAAAGTCCTGTAGGTAATCCTCGGTGACCTCAGTGGCCGAACGGTACTCTGGACGTGCCAACAGAGTAAGATGATGGAAGCGCGAGTTGTTGTTGTTGTTGTTACTTTATTTTACTTCACGAGTCTATTATTGCAACTCTGACTTCCATGCTATCAGGAACAACGGGGCTGAGCTGGAACCTCTTATTGAGATGCTTCAACATTGCTGCCTTCAATGCCTCCGTCGTAGCCGAGTCGTCATCAGTGGTGTTGAGATGGCCCTGCAGCTCCAGAGTGAATGGCAACACATAGGATATCGTGACAGACTTCTCGGCGCTGAGAGTGGTGACCGCGACTTAAAAACGCTTGAGCAGCAAGACCAGCTCCTCCGTACTGTTCAGGACGGGCATCAAGGCGCCGGTCATCTGGCTTGCTGACAGGCTCATCCAGTAACACAGCGGACGCGCAAGCCTTCACCTGGAGCAGACGCTCCATACAAAGTGCTGTTCCACCTTGTAGCCATTTCTGAGAACAAACTTCAGCTTGCTCTCAATGTCCTCATCCGGTTTTATTATTTCATTCTGGACTTCGCCGGCGAAAAATGGATGGAGTGTTGTCGCTGTGTAGCGTATAGCGTATCCCCGTACGTTAGCACATCCCCGTACGTTACTGTATTCCCGTACGTTAGCATATCCCCGTACTGTATCCCCATACGTTAGCGTATCCCCGTACATTAGCGTACGGAGTCTGCCTTTGCATAAAAGCTGCTGCTCACGATTCTTTTATAGCCAGTTAGTTAATTTAGTTGCCAGTCAGTTAATTTAGTAGCCAGTTAGTTAACTTAGTTGCCAGTCAGTTAATTTAGTAGCCAGTTAGTTAATTTAGTTGCCAATCAGTTAATTTCGTTGCCAGTACATTTCAATTGCCAATTACAGTGTGTTCACTGAGACCCTTGTGCGTTCTTGCCTCCGAGAGACTGCGGCCCGCTACAAATTGGTGGCAGCGGTAAATTCATTTTGCTTCATTCTATAACTAACTTTGTTACTTTACACGTTTCTCAGACCCCCATGGCTCAACCTGCTGCAGCTCCGTGCGACGAATCAAGATGAGAATCATGTTTCTTGCCTTCCTGGGCTTGGCCCTGCTTATTAGCCTGCAGCACAGTCAGGGTGCTAGCGTGGATCACCCTTCTCTCCGCACGGCACTCACTGGAGACTCCGATGGCGATTCCAAGCGACCCGCTACCTACATGTATACTACCGGTGGTGATAGCGAAGCTGATGAGGACGACGACATGCAGGCTGCTGACCAAGACAAGGAGGGTATTCCCCAAGACCAGCAGCGTTTGATTTTCGCCGGCACGCAGTTGGCAGACGGCCGAACCCTGAGTGACTACAACGTTCAGCAGGAGTCCACTATTCACTTGGTACTTCGTCTCCGTGGTGGGAGGCAGATTTTCGTCAACCCTCTTCCTGGCTAGACCATCACTCTTTACGTCGCGCAAAGCGATGCTATCGACAATGTGAAGACCATGATTCAAGACGAGGAGGGAGGTCATTTGTCTGACGCCGAGCTAGCCGCTCTGAGTGACCGGCTCAACCAAGATGAAGATAAAACCTGGCTCGCCCTCCGCCATAGCTCCAGCCGCCGCCGTGGTTACTAACACTGATTCCAGGTATGGCATTTTCTTTCCTGTCTTCCTTCAGTCGCCCTGTTCTCTTCAGTCTTCCTTTATGCGAGTGTGTGAATCCAGTTTAGTTTGGTAGGCGTCTGATCATGGTGAGCCACGGCTTACCCAGCTAACGTGGGACAATGTGTGTGACAACGCCCCTTATAGTTATAGTGTATTCAGTTCGGTTTTTGAACTGCGATGTTCCTGGCGGGTTGTGCCAGCGTTGTGCAGCAAGAGTGCTGTGGTTTTTCAGGTCCTATTTGGAGGACAGTTTCTTTACCCTTTTGACCCCGTGAGATCGTGTGAACCTGGTGTGTTTCTACTTTATGATTTGTTTATCAGTTCATTCTTCTGTCTATTCCAAACGTTATCATTTCCGATATTATTTGCCATACTCCGGTTGACGCTCTCCCAGTAATTCGCGATCTACTATAATGTTCACGACTACATACCTGTATTATATTATGCAAGTCATCCATTCTGCCTATCTCTTATCGTCGAGTTTATTCCGACGCGACCATGCATGCCGCCAGTTTTTTCTAAATAGCAGCCATTTGTTGATGTCCAGCTATCACCTACATGTAGTATTCGAATCACGAGGACGTGATTGTATTTGAGAGGGGAGGTGTAGCGTATAGCGTATCCCCGTACGTTAGCATATCCCCGTACGTTACTGTATTCCCGTACGTTAGCATATCCCCGTACTGTATCCCCATACGTTAGCGTATCCCCGTACATTAGCGTACGGAGTCTGCCTTTGCATAAAAGCTGCTGCTCACGATTCTTTTATAGCCAGTTAGTTAATTTAGTTGCCAGTCAGTTAATTTAGTAGCCAGTTAGTTAATTTAGTTGCCAGTCAGTTAATTTAGTAGCCAGTTAGTTAATTTAGTTGCCAATCAGTTAATTTCGTTGCCAGTACATTTCAATTGCCAATTACAGTGTGTTCACTGAGACCCTTGTGCGTTCTTGCCTCCGAGAGACTGCGGCCCGCTACAGCTGTGGTACAGTGTGTAGCAGTTCCCCCCCCCCCCCCCCCCACACACACACTCCTCGAGGTGATTTGTGCATGTTATCCTTGTGCCAAGTTTTTACGTACTGCAGTGCTGCTCAATGAAATCCGATTGAGCGAGTCAAGGTCACGCCGGGCGCTGTGCTGCCCTAGACCTTCAAACACTGGGGTGTTGACTCTTGCAGGGCGCAACGCTGACTCACTTGATCGGATTTCACTGCCCAGCACTGTACATTGCCGTTGGACTGTGTACTCTCTGTTTTGTGTGCGTAGGTGAACACGTACCATCTATTGAAGCTGTTCCATAGTGACGCCACTGGTATCATTAAGAAGCATGTTGTCAGCGAACTGTACGATGAAATTGTAAGTACTGCTAGCCGAGCAGAGCCAGGTATTTGAGTAGCACTACATTTGTACATAGTGCACTGTATTATCCGGGGGAGGGGGTTGTGAACTAGGGCAGGGCAACCATAAACAGTGTGTCACTGGTAACCGGGAAAATAGGGTAGAACACAGTGCACTGTATTTTCCGGGGGGGGGGGGGGGGGCAGAGGGCTGGGCAATTGTGAACAGTGTCAATGCAGGCAGGCATGCAGTGGGCTAGATGTAGACTCAGTCTTCCAACGGTTCTCCATGCTTCAGCAATGATGGTCTTCACTGTTTCTCCCTGTTCACAGTGACTGGTCGAGGAGGGCCGCAGTCTCGGTGCAAAATTCAAAACTATAATTATGATTTTAAGGTGTTGGTGTGTGGTTGTGTGTGTGTGTGTGTGCGCGCGCACACGTCTGTGCGCATGCTATTTTGCTGTGCAGATTTTCACGGAGCCCACGCACACCACGCTGCAGCTGTTGACACAGGGCAAGATTCCAAACAGTGCTCGACAAGATGCAGCTAATGATTGTGAGTGCGGGTGTATCACGCCCTTTCTGCAGTGGTGTACTTGAAAACAAGTAGTAATCAGAAAATTTACTAAATCTGAACATTTGGCAGGGAGGAATATTCCTGCTGCAGCAGCTTGAGCTTATACTCAATACACCTTGGTGGAGAGCTGCGTACACATACATAGGTGGAATCCTGATAATTCAAACGCCAAATTGAGGAGGAAGACTTCTATAGGCCATGCAAAATAATTATTTTTGATTGTTTATTGTCAGATTTTCCCGAGAAATCGGGGCGGAGAATCAGGCAGCTGATAATCTCTTTCACCTTTCAAGCCTATAGCACGATGATACACGTGTGATTTAAACTGAGGACTTCGCCTTCCAAGATCTACAGCCACGCTGATTAGAGGCTGTATAGGCATAGATCGCAGTACATACAGTACATTTACTGGAACTAAGAAATAAAATAATTTGGCCGGAGGGCAAAACATCGGGGCGGGCGCGGACGATAAACAATCAATTTTTTTACTTTGCCTTATCCGGACATTCTAATTAATATCCAAACATGTACCCCAACACTAGATGTATGACAAGACAAGATGCTCACGTTGTCACAGAGATCTGTGATGTGCACTATAGAACTCACAGATTCCGCGCCCTCTGAACCGGCCAGTACGACTCGTACAGTCTGGCCGCGCACACGGAGCTGACTTCTAGTGCACTTCGAATTATTCTTGGCTGGCTTATCAGCAGAAGTCACACACATTTTCTTGATTGTGCTCGTTTTGAAGTACATGTAAGTGGATATTGTGGGACTTCTAATCAGGCGGCCTTGTCCGGTTCAAGGTTCGAATTTTCAGCCACCCTTGATGTGGGAATCATATTGGCTGAAATCGGTGACTGAAGAAAGTTCTAGTGAAAGCGGTATATTCGCATAAAGGCATATTAGTACAGTATTTGAATTAACTGGATTCCACCTGCACTACCAGTGTGCAGAAGGATGCTGAAAGATCCGGTTGTGAATAGTGCACGTCGGCACACCAACACAGATTTCACTCTGCTCGTCTCATTGCGCCGTATATGGCGAGGGTAAGGTAGTAAGTCTCACGACCAATGCCCGTAAGGGGGGGGGGGGGGGGCGAACCTCGTTTCTCAGCACAACTGTACGTCGGTGGTCGCGCGGACGTGAAAACTTTGCTTTTTAAACTTTCATCTCATTGCACAGACAAGGAGCTGGAAGAGGTCACGCTGGAACGGATCGCCGCCACCCGGCGAAAGATCGACCAGGAGATCGCCGAGCTGCGCGCCAGCATCCAGCACAACGAGGTGCTGCTGCCACAGCTCAAGGGAGCGGCCGGCAAGTCGGCGGTGCCCAGTGTGCCCCAGACCGCCCCGCCGATTCTTTCGTCGGGCGGCGGCGCTCCGGCCAATCCGCTGGTGGCAGCGATAGCGTCATCGTCAGCGTCGTTGCCAGCACAGTCATGACATCACGCTTGCTGAACACGCACCGGTATGTATATAATTTGTCGGCATGTGCGTGTAGAATCGCCGTCGCACCCCGACTGTCGTACACGAATCCGCAATGTAAATAGCCTAGGTCCTCTACTCCTCTCTTGTTGTACAAAGCTTGATTCTAATGTAAAATGCATTTCCGTTGCATGCATGTTAGGATATTTCTCTGTATGCTTATAACACACATCATTTTCACGGAAACGAAACACTTCCATTGTCACGGAAACGAAACGCTGCACAAGTAAGACATTGGCTGCTCTTCATAATTATATACCCACAAAACCTCCATGACGTCCAGCTCTTCTGCGTGAAGTGTCCAGGTGCATTCTTCATATCATACATGTACATTATCTAGTCCTCGGATTCACTCTACATACTCTCCTTGATCTTGTATAGAATATCATTATTATTGTATGCACGGTACGCTTTTCAACTCCCTCAAGCTGATGAGCATGCACGGTACTACTGATTTGTTTGGGATTTCTTGTTGGTTTCAAGTACTAATAAATATTTATACAAAAGAGAAAGACCAAGGCACTACAAGTTCCACTATCCTGTCCACTAACACCACCAGTTACTAAAGAATCAACTCGTGCGATAACATTGCACGGCACTGACCGACGGTATCTTGTAGTTCCTTGGTCTTTCTATTTTGTATAAATTAAACCTTGGCTCTCCATCTGAGTCCATTCCTGCACACCTAATAAATATTTGGTTTTGTTTAGGGGTTTGTTTAAATTATAGTTAACAGTCTTCGGTGGAGACTTTGTTCAGAGTTTTCTTTGTCTTCAGCTATGCAGTGAAGTACATGGATGCGGCCAAGAGTATCTGAGTATCTGAACAAGAGTGTGCAACTCCGGATCTCTCCTGCACAATCTGCAGATGCCCATGGCGGGATTTTTTGTTGACGTCACCTTTTTTCAGAGAAACGCGCATTTTGCCGCAGAGCAACGTGAGAGCACGTGCTGGGCACCGACCTTGTAGTGTAAAGCCCGACCAAGTGCACGAGGGAAAACTTTCCAAAAGACTCGCAGCGCGTGCGTCGTCGAAAAGATTACGTCAACGAAAAAATTCCGCCGTCGGCCTACCCATCCGCGAGTTGCACACTCTTGTTTATCTACTCTTGGTGCGGCTAATGGGGTTTTCGGCATTTGCCGGTGCCAGTGGCTGTGAGACTTATCCCCTCACCCCCACCGTTAGGCGCTGCATCTGCCACTGGGTTTACCGGGTTCCTTTCGGGAATGGACACGATGATAGAACGTGCAGTTAAGTGCGCCTCACATTCCTCGGCACCCACACTCAACTTAGAACAGAGAAATCATAGACAGTATGTTGCTATGATACAGTAATTGGAGTTCAACTGCACTTTAATTACCGACTAGCCTTGGTCACTGAATACATGTACAGTCAACTTCGCTAATAACGACTGCGGATATAACGACAATTCGCGAATAACGACAGAATCTCCATGCACAGAGCAAAGTCCCATCCAACTGCAATGCATATAACGAGACTTCGGGTATAACGACACTTCGCGAATAAGGACACTTGTCTGATGCCCCGCCGAGTGTCGTTATAAGCGAAGTTGACTGTACATGTACTGGGAACCTAGAGCCAATAGACAACCCAACAATCTCGGCCATGAAATCTATACACTGTACATAGGGACAACGACACACTGGATTGTGGAGCTGAAACTAGTCCAACCTCCAAGTGCTTTGGCAAGAAGTTAGCCTTCCGACCGACCAACACATGCGCACATACACGAGCGCGCGCACATACACGAGCTCGCGCACACACACACAAACACACTTCTCCATCTCTTTCCAATCATTTACAATGAAGTAGAAATCCCACTGGACAAGTCTGGTAGAATATGTAGCTCACGGTACCAGCGGGGATGGGTCACAGCAAACCGTGTGTTACGAAACGTTTGCACTGCCTGACGCGAGCTGACGCATGTCAACCGCGAATACATGTGCAAAGCCGGAAAAATAAAGAAGCCAGCGCCTGTATAGAGTACAACGGCGACACTGGTATTTGGCACGAGACGAGAACTATAAAACGTATTTTTAAACCCGGCATGCACGTCTAAATTAATGATCAGTTTCTGTGCATGTAGTTCCCGCGCACATAGTATGATAAAAGCAGATGACGTCAGCTCTTGCCAATCTAATGTCCTTGGCAGCAGTTTAAATATCAGCAGGTGCTTCAAGTATAGCGGAAGCACATCTCACCCAGCAACAAAACACGTCACACTCAGACGGTTGCTGTGGTTTTAGTAATCCTGCAGTGGGGAGAGCGGCGATAAACAGGACTGAACAAAGATTGTCAGTGGCGGAAGGGCTACCAGGACATACGCGTGCACCGTGAAGCCGACGATCCATCATCGTGCGTGCACTGCGTCTCTGTACTTCGTAAGGCAACGGGCTACAAGACAACGACGGGCTACAAGACGACGACGGGCAACGGGCTACAAGACGACGACGGGGAGTGGATGAACGCAGGTTATAGTTTCCGAAAATAGCACTCAGCCATGGATAGGTCAAGGCCAGAAATCAAGCGCAAACTAATTGCCATGATAGGTGGAGGCAGCGGGGACGAACGAAGGGCACCGCCGGCGCCGCAATCAATGTGCAAGGCCATACATGTACAGGTAGTCAACGGTTAGTCAGCGCATGCATTATTAACAATATTACGATCGATTAGAGTACGCATCGCACAGTGACTGCTATACACGGACCAGCGGTGCTGTGCGCGATGCTACCAGCCTCGCACGCGACTTTGCCCTCCGCTGATGACGATGACGGCAGCCGACCGTCATCCGGAGCGATTTCTGCCTCGGCTGCTGCTCGTGCGCAAGACTCGACGGCTGCCCGCTGCTTCTCGGGTCGCTGTGCTCGTCAGATACATGGTCCTGTTGGTGGCGCTGCTGCATGCGTCGCTTTGCCTTGCTTGTTAGCGTGTATCTAGTAGTGGAATCATGCGCCGCCGTTGATGCAGGTGATTCCGGGGAACGCCGTTGTTTCCTGGCGCCACCACGGGCCAGAATGCCAGCAGCTGTGACATCAGCGGGCGTGGCCGATGTTGCATCATGCGCCGTTGTAGATGCGGGTGATTCCTGGGAGCGTCGTCGCTTCATGGCGCCACCACGGGCCAGAATACCAGCAGCAGTGACATCAGCGGGCGTGGCCGATGTGGCATCATGTGCCGCTGCGGATGCAGATGATTCCGGGGAGCGTCGTCGCTTCATGGCGCCACCACAGGCCAGTATACCAGCAGCCGTGACATCAGCGGGCGTGGCCGACGACTCAGCGCGCTCTGGTTCATCACCGGACACGAGCTCCTGGGCAGTGGTGACGGCGGCTTGACGACTCGACAGCGGTGGCATGCCGTTGAATCCAAAGCCGTCGCCGAAAAGCCCCGGACCGTTGCTGCCGCTAGCCCCACCACCTGCTCCGCCGCCACTGCCTGGGTTACCCCACATTGGACCCCCTCCACCACCGCCTGCAGCGCCCCCACCGCCGTTACTTCCGTTACCACCACCGCCGCCACGGCCGTTGTTTCCCGCCTCTCCGTAATGGTCGAAGAAGTGCGGTATCTTCTTCTGTCTCTTGCGCGCCAGCTGCTCCGTGTCGACTATCTGCGGCTGGTAAGTGAACGGCTTTGCCTCGCTGGTCTCGTTGTCCGACCGTCGTCGCAGCTGGATCCATACGTTCACTGGCCGGCTGATGCTAGTGTCGCAGTATGCCGGCGTCTTGAACACGATTGCAAACTGGCGGTGAACATCGGACGGTGCAAACACCCCCAGGGCTGACCAACCATCCGGCCGTCCATCACCACTGTCGCTTCCGTCGCCTTCCGTGAAGAATCGCACTTCAATGTCGTCCTTCTGGACGCGGTCGCAAAGCAAATACACCTCGTCTCCGCCAAGCACCGAGCCGGAATGCCGGTCCATGCGGCTTATCTTCAGAGTCGATGCCGACGGGGCTTTGCTGTCGTAAACCGGCTGGGAGATGCACGGCTGCAGAGGCTTGGTGAAGCTGCCCTGCTCGTCCGCCAGATACGCCTGGAAGCAGAGGCGTACCACGCTCAAGTTCATGTGCCGACTGGCCTCCTCGGCCATTGCCTTCAGCTGCGAACGCTCTTCTTCGCTGAGCTTCTCCATGGACGCTGCAATGACAGCGGCCTCATCCGGCAACGACGATGTCGGTGCAGTGCCTGGCTTCAAATCTGGCATGATTGGCAGAGCCACTGAGGATGCACCAGGCCCAGTCAGCGCCAGGGCATATCTCTCCAGCAGGACTTTGACCACGTTCTTCTTGGTCACATGCAGTATGCCCAGGTTGGGGAACGATGCCATCCAGTTGGTCTCCGGGCCGATTTGGACGGTACACTGGCCGTTGACGACGTGGCGACCGACCAGCGAGTGTGCATGCGGTCTTGGCGGGTCGTCTTGGGTGACTAGGGACACGACTACTCTGGCTGCACGGCCCTCGTACTTGCGCAGTTGTACGGTAGGATACGACTTGCGATTCTTCTCCGAGGTCTCTCCAGGCAGGCCGCCGTGTGACGGGCCCTCGCACGAGTATCTGAAGCGGAATCCTCTCTGCCGTGGTTCTTCGAGGATCGTCAGCTCAGCTTTGCTCGAGTCGACTTGGACGTAGGGAGTTATCACAGTAGCCGGTGCAGGGCTGACTGCAAGGTCAGTTGCTGCCGCTGGTTCCTGACCATCTTCAGAGCTCGCTGCTCCGTCGTCCGCATTGGATGACTCCGATTCTTCTGTTGCCGAGACAGCACCGTTACCAGCCGGGCCCAGCGTCACAGCAGCAGCGACCGCTAGTTTGTCATCTAGCGAATCGTCTTCGACCTCGATCTTCTCATCTTCTTCACTATGGTGCTTAGTCTCAGCGTCCATCGTCGCTCCCAGCACTACTTCAGTAATTGTACGCCTGTTTGACTTGCTCCTGCATGGAGGTCCTGCTACGAGGCGAAACTGCGAACTCCTGATCCTACAGCCGCTCGCGTCGCAGCCTCAGTCACTCTCCCCGCAAATAATGGCTCTGAACAAATCTGTCAAGCGTACAAGCAGAGAAATCTGCTCTGAACTGATGTGAAGCACAGTAACAAGTTAGCACGGGCACCAGAAGAACTAGCAAAAACGCTAAGGGCCGAGGCAGGTACTTTTTATTTTTACTTAGCTCGCAGCTGATGTGTACGAAACTAATCCCTCTTTCCCGACGCTGCCGTTTTATTATGTTGACGCATGCGCACTCGCTGTGGATAGGGTCTCCGCTGGCTGCCAAGACATCCCGGGAGTCCCCGCGAACATCCCACGTGTGTGGAGTGCTTACTTCGGCCTGTGAACACAGTCGGAGGGACTGTCGACATGTCGGCATAATGTGTAGTGAGCTCGTAGATCTACTTAATGTCTTTGCTCTTGTACTGTTGTAATGTAGAGACAGAAAACGCGGCCAGACGGGCAAGCAAGTACGACTCAGCGTGATGTATGCGTAGGCTATTACCATGATTACTATCCTAGGCTACACCACTTCAACACTAAGTCTTGGCACTGACTCGGTGACTGTAGTGTAGTGTAGACCATGGTAGACTGTGTAGTGTAGCACGGTGACACCATACACAATGATACAGGCATACTAGTACTCCATAAAAATTTAAAGGCATTATCATGATTATGACTCCATAGCATGCATAGTCTCTGAAACCTGGCATGGATGGCCCTAGGCTACGTACTAGTAACTAACGAGTTACGTAAGTCGTTACTTCATAAGCCCATTTACATCACTACTAATAATAGTACTACTTATACCACGTATACAACAGTCTAGTCCCGCTCAATGAAATCCAGCCGCGTCACTCAAGTTTGCACCTTGCACCATTTTGGAGCCCAGTGTTCGCAGGTCTAGGGCTGCGCAACGCCCGGCGTGTACTTGAGTGACGTGACTGGATTTCATTGAGCAGCACAGTAGTGTAGTAGCAGTAGTCAGGCATAAGTACAACATTCTACAGTCATCGTGGTCATGTACATAGGAATGGGTTTGCTCCCACACTGGAGCGGCTCGCTGGAAGTACAATTATTGTTATTATTTACATGTACATTAGACTGTTTTTACAGCCATTTAAAAATATAAAAATAAAAAAACACTCGAGCTCGCGCTATTCCGCCGACGACTTGACACTTGACTGACTCACGACTGCCATCCAGAGAACACGAGAAGTCCATCGCGAACCTTCGACTCGGAAAACCTGCAAGAAAGCACCACTCCCTGCTCAATACACAGTGTTTCGGGGAATTCACCCCTCATCAGTTGAGCTTGAGTAGGCTGAGGAAGATTGGTTTTCCGAGTCGAAGGTTCGATGGACTTCTCGTGAGTCAGTCAAGTATCAAGTCGTCGGCGGAATAGCTCGAGTTCTAGTGTGGGAGCAAACCCATTCCTAAACAAAATCATCGCCGAAGTCCCAACCTCTATTTCGTAAATAGTCATGTACATGTACATGGTATAATTCTTATTATAATGCAATGACAATTGACATGTAGTATTTTGAAGTGACATACATGTACATGTATGCAGCGAAGAGACCGTATTTGGAAAGTGTGAAAGTAACGTGAGTTCGAGTTGAGGTACTAGTATACAGTATAGTTATTATCAAAGCGATCCTGTCAGCTTTTCTACTATTTCTGATTATGTCACGTCACGATCAGTGGGAGTTCTAAGCTAGAAGAGGGAGGCACAATTATGTACAAGTCATTTACAATCATGTAGATCTAAGCTACATGACTGTAAATCACGAAAATGCGAAATAATTACAATGTACTGTACTACTACTACTAATGTACTATGACATGTACGTGTACCTACTGAGTAGATCTACCGGTACTACTTATTGAAACCCTACTCCCTAGCCTGGCCCTGTCATGTACTTATGTAGGAGTCAAGTATAATTATGACTTGTGTACTTGGCGGTATGCAGCTGCTAGTGCTAGGCCGCATTACCAAATCCACAACTACATGTACATGGACAAGTACAAGCAAACGACCCCACCGGTGGTTTACGTGGTTACTTTTGGGAGATGTCTTGATATCATTCTGTCTTGGGCTGGAAAGTGATGGCGTCAAAAACGGCCTGGGAGTAGTTAGTTGACATCAGATTTCTATTTTGGATCCACTAAGCCTAAGGTGTGACTTTGCTATTGCCTCAGTATGTGGGTGCATAGCAACCCACTCATGTCGTATGCAGGTGCGACTTTTACTTCGCCACCAGTTGTCACCCCGCCCCCACTAGGCAAATCAGTCAGTTTCACTGGCTACATCACCTTGCTGAGAGTAAGACCGCTTGAAATGTGCTTGGATCCATACAAAAAAAACTGGATCCAGGTGGATCCAGTTTTTGAATTTTTCAAATTGTTGCTATGCCATTGCTATGTGGTGACGTAGCACGCTAAAATATTATTCAAATCGATAAGAAGCGCTATGTACTGTATGGTCCTTCAATAGCAGGTGTGTATAATAATAGGCACCGAGTTACATGTACATGTATGTATATGTGGAAATTGTGCTACCAGCACTGCTAGTTATTTGGAGCGATTATGTCTGGATTGAGGCTCCAGTCTCTCCGGAGGCGTGGGTTCGAATCCCACCGCTGCCACCAATTCTGTAGAGAATCCCACCGCTGCCACCAATTCTGTAGCGTATGCCACCGCTGGCACCAATTCTGTAGCGGGCCGCAGTCTCTCTCTCGGAGGCAAATGCAGACGGGTCTCAGTGAACACACTGTTATTAATTTTATTATTACTAAAGACTGGATTGAAGGTTGAACTCTAACTCTAAACTGACATTACTGAAGGTTCTAACTGGTATCTCTAACTGGCATTTCTAACTGGCCTTTCTAACTGTAGTTTCTAACTGGCGTGTAGAGAATTGTGAACAGCAGGTTTTATAGGCAGACAGCATACGTGCTGCAACAGCAATAGTCACGGCAAAGCTCAGCAGAGAGAAGAAGAAAGGTCAAAGACTCAAAGTAGATGTGTGGGCTACAGTCATTGCACAAGGAATGCCATTTGATTCTATGCAGAAGAGGGAGCTGAATAGCAGTGTGGGCAATGGGCGTAAAAGAGGCGGTTGAAAGTGCAGCAAAAGGTCTAGACTAGTATTTCTAAGGTCAATATGAAACATAATTGAACGCGGTGAGACTAGTTGCTATCCATGTCATGGATCTGCGCTGCAAGCACGGTACAGAGTTGCAAGTGCGGGGTACGGGTGCGGTGTAACACGCGTGACCAATACATTGAAAGTGATTCACGCTGCAGCTGTGTGAGTTACTAGCGTGCCAACGCTACACTAGTTACATGTACATGTATAATGCTAGCAATGCTGATAGTCACTGGTGGGGGTGCATGTGTGTGGTTTTTTTTATTGGGGGGGGGGGGGGGAGGGAGGGGGTGCACGTGTGTGTATCTGTGTGTGGGTGTGTGTGGGGGGGGGGGGGGGGGGAGCATGGGCCATGTGAGATTGTGAGTGCTATGTTAGACGTGTCCGTAACCACTGGTAATCACTCTCCAGGAAAGGGCGCAGGTAATCCACCTACATGTAACTGAGTGCAATTCCAGCCTTCAGGAAAGCCTCACCAACGTTGGCCCGCCGGACAACAACATCTTCCAACACAGCTTGTGGCTGACCGCTTCCCGCCAGGTCAGACGTGCTTTCACTTGCAAACTTTCTCCACGGAGCAGTTATTGCCTGTTGATGAGGTTTCGCCCGTTTCTTTCTCTCCTTTCCCTGCACATGTCGCTGGGTATTCACATGCGCTTTCACAATGCTGTGCTTGATACTCCTCGTCAACTTACAAGTTGTGCAGTAGAGTTTCCCTTCCGAAACTGAGAGGTACATGTACTCGTCCGGGAAGGGTCAGCAATCCGATCGTGGGTGCTGCGGCTAGGAGCTGTGGAGCTGTGGTGGATTCCCCACCCGACACTCGCACGCGTTTTGCCTTGGTATTCTGGCTAGAGTCGCTCGACTTTCCACTTCTTGCAAAACGACCTTTTGCGGGCAATAGCAGCTGGTTGCGCTGCTGGAAGACTGTCGACTGCCGCGGTCTTTTCAAAGTCAGAGCTTTCCTCTCGGCTAACCAAAAGCCATCACTCTCACTGCTCTCATCTTCTGTTTCAAAACCAGAACCTCCGCCACCCGTTGCTGCCATCGGACCAACACAAGCTACGACAGAACAACTAGTTTGCTTACTTCTAGCGAAGGTCTCACCACTTTTATTATTACAGAATCACTGTCAACATGCTAAAGCTGAAGGTCAAACTAACGGTGTTACTTGGAAAAGACTCGCCGTATCGTTGAACTTGAAAACAGGCATGGACTCGGATGGAGAGCCAAGGTTTAATTTATACGAAAGAGAAAGGACCAAGGAACTACAAGTTACGCTATACTGTCCACTAACACCACCAGTTACTAAACAATCAGCTCATGCGATAACATTGCACGACACTGACCGACGGTACTGACGTTCTACAACTACATGTAACTGACTAACCGCTCTAGCACATCTTGGATGCGCACTCCAACAGCCTTCCAACTTGGAGGGTTCTAAGTTATAGAAATAACATAAGGAGGGGAAGGTGAGCGCAGCCATGATAAGCACGAGCTGACAGTCTCGGCTTTTCTTGATCTTTGCATCTTTTGAGCCACGCAACATCCGCCAACGTCCTTCACAGCTGAGACTTTCAGCTCGTGCTTATCTTGGTTGCGCTCACCTTCTCCTCTTTATGTTATTTCTATAACTTAGAACCTTCCAAGTTGGAAGGCTGTTGGAGTGCGCATCCAAGATGTGCTAGAGCTGTTAGCCAGTTAGTTGTAGAACGTCAGTACTGTACCGTCGGTCAGTGTCGTGTAATGTTAATATAGTGTAACTTGTAGTTCCTTGGTCCTTTTTAGTTTTTATCAACAATCCTCGGCACTCCATCCGAGTTTTTTCTTCACCTGTTTTTCTTTTCTTCTTTTTGAGTATTTCCAGTCTGTGTTTTTCTCTCTTTCGTAGAGGTTTGTTCTATCCTTGGCTTTTGGCCGCTACTTCATCGCCATCATAATACTGGGCATTATTGCCTATTATTTTTGGTTTGCGATGCAAAATAAAATCTCAACAACAACGACAACAACAAAACTCTCACTCCCAGACCAGACTAACACTGCGCATGCACG